GGCTGTAGAGGTCGTGCTCCTGGGAGTGTAGTAGCAGTTCCCAATTGATGAAGTACAAGGAATACGGTAGTAACACTGCCGTTTTTGCAATCCTGAAGATGCAGCACTGTAGTAAAAGTGCTCTTGGTACTGTAGCCGTATTTCAGCAGCGCTGTTATAGTAGTATTACTCTAATAATGCAATAAGACTAGTACTCCGGATGCTGGTTGTAGTAAAGCTCCAATCGTACTCTAATGCTGTATCGCTGTAGTAACACCCACATACTGTAGTACTGTAACAATATGGTGGTCGTACTGTAGTGGTTGCTCTCTCTGGCAGTGTCGTAGTCGTAATATTTTGTAATCACAAACTGGAAGTGGCACTATTCTAATACTGCGTTAACACTAATGCTCTAATACCGGCTGTACTAGTCCTACGTTCCTACTGCAATGATAGTGTTTTGTTCCCCACATCCTAAGTGGGGTTCTTGTTTTCTCTGCACACCCTCCGCGCAGGATCTCCTCCTCCCTCCTCCTCCTCCTCCCTCTCCTCTGCTCCTCTTTGCTTCCTCCTCCGCATCATCATCACCACCACCATCACTCCCCACTCATCATCATCATCATCACCATCAACATCACCATCGCACGATCACTCACCATCATCGGCATCGAACGATCATCAATTCATCATCATCATCATCATCATCATTCCTCGCTGGCTTGAGGCCTGAATATGGAAGAAGTCTCGAGCGGGAGCCTCGCCTGTGAGTGAATTGCGAGGAAGTCTCAGGCGGGAACCCCCTCCCTATGGGGCCCGCGCTTCATGTTTGAATCCGAGCGGGTCATCCGCAACGAGCAACTGTCGTCACTTTTGGGCTCCTGAGACTTGAATATGGAAGAAGTCTCGAGCGGGAGCCTCGTCTGTGAGTGAATTGTGAAGAAGTCTCAGGCGGGAGCCCCCTCCCTATGGGGCCCGCGCTTCATGTTTGAATCCGAACGGGTCATCCGCAACGTGTAACTGTCGTCACTTTTGGGCTCTTGAAATATGAATATGGAGGAAGTCTCGAACGGGAGCCTCGTCTGTGAGTGAATTGCGAGGAAGTCTCAGGCGGGAACCCCCTCCCTATGGGGCCCGCACTTCATGTTTGAATCCGAGCGGGTCATCCGCAACGTGCAACTGTCGTCACTCTTGGGCTCTTGAGACTTGAATATGGAGGAAGTCTCAGGCGGAAGCCCCCTCCCTATGGGGCCCGCGCTTCATGTTTGAATCCGAACGGGTCACCCGCAACGTGCAACTGTCGTCACTTTTGGGCTCTTGAGACTTGAATATGGAGGAAGTCTCGAGCGGGAGCCTCGTCTGTGAGTGAATTGCGAGGAAGTCTCAGGCGGGAGCCCCCTCCCTATGGGGCCCGCACTTCATGTTGAATCCGAGCGGGTCATCCGCAACGTGCAACTGTCGTCACTTTTGGGCTCTTGAGACTTGAATATGGAGGAAGTCTCGGCGGGAGCCTCGTCTGTGAGTGAATTGTGAGGAAGTCTCAGGCGGGAGCCCCCTCCCTATGGGGCCCGCACTTCATGTTTGAATCCGAGCGGGTCATCCGCAACGTGCAACTGTCGTCACTTTTGGGCTCTTGAGATATGAATATGGAGGAAGTCTAGAGCGGGAGCCTCGTCTGTGAGTGAATTGCGAGGAAGTCTCAGGCGGGAGCCCCCTCCCTATGGGGCCCGCACTTCATGTTTGAATCCGAGCGGGTCATCCGCAACGTGCAACTGTCGTCACTTTTGGGCTCTTGAGACTTGAATATGGAGGAGTCTCGAGCGGGAGCCTCGTCTGTGAGTGAATTGTGAGGAAGTCTCAGGCGGGAGCCCCCTCCCTATGGGGCCCGCACTTCATGTTTGAATCCGAGCGGGTCATCCGCAACGTGTAACTGTCGTCACTTTTGGGCCCTGAAGGCCGGAATATGGAGGAAGTATCAGGCGGGAGCCTCGTCTGTGAGTGAACTGTGAGGAAGTCTCAGGCGGGAGCCCCCTCCCTATGGGGCCCGCACTTCATGTTCGAATCCGAGCGGGCCATCCGCAACGAGCAACTGTCGTCACTTTTGGGCTCTTGAGACTTGAATATGGAGGAAGTCTCGAGCGGGAGCCTCGTCTGTGAGTGAATTGTGAGGAAGTCTCAGGCGGGAGCCCCCTCCCTATGGGGCCCGCACTTCATGTTTGATTCCGAGCGGGTCATCCGCAACGTGCAACTGTCGTCACTTTTTGGCTCTTGAGATATGAATATGGTGGAAGTCTCGAGCGGGAGCCTCGTCTGTGAGTGAATTGTGAGGAAGTCTCAGGCGGGAGCCCCAGGAGGAAGAGGAAAGGGCAAAGGGTAAGCTAAACAGATTCTCATGTGGGGTCCTACCGTCGGAGTAAATACTGCAGGACCCTGATGTTGTAGTCGTAGTGATCTGGTGCTGGCTGCAGTGGTGGCATTGTAATGCCTTAGTCGGATAGTACCACTACTGGAATACTAGTAGTACTGCTTGTACTCTATGGAACTAGCAGCACCGTGATAATGGAGCAATCGTAGTAGTGCTTTAGTTCCGGCTGTAACCAAAATACTAAATTAGTGCTATCGTATCACAACAATACTGCAGTGCTGTGAATTTTGTATGGGTAGCTCTGTAGTCGTAAAAGGCCGTAGTCGTCGTAGTAGTAGTAGTAGTAGTAGTAGTAGTAGTAGTAGTAGTAGTAGTAATCGTAGTAGTCGTTGTAGTCGTAGTAGTCGTAGTAGTCGTACTAGTCGTAGTAGTAGTAGTAGTAGTAGTAGTAGTAGTAGTAGTAGTAGTAGTAGTAGTGGTAGTAGTAGTAATAGTAGTAGTAGTAGTAGTAGTAGTAGTAGTAGTAGTAGTAGTAGTAGTAGTAGTAGTAGTAGTATCCGTCGTAGTAGCAGTAGTAGTAGTAGTAGTCGTCGTAGAAGTAATCGAATTAGTATTCGTAGTAGTAGTAGTAGTAATAGTAGTAGTAGTAGTAGTAGTAGTAGTAGTAGTAGTAGTAGTAGTGGTAGTGGTAGTGGTAGTGGTAGTGGTAGTGGTAGTGGTAGTGGTAGTAGTAGTAGTAGTAGTAGTAGTAGTAGTAGTAGTAGTCGCCGTAGTAGAAGAAGAAGTAGTAGTAGTAGTAGTAGTAGTAGTAGTAGTAATAGTAGTAGTAGTAGTAGTAGTAGTAGTGGTAGTAGTAGTAGTAGTAGTAGTAGTAGTAGTAGTAGTAGTAGAAGTAGCAATGATAATCGCCTCCTCCTCCCCCCTCCTCGTTCTCCCCGTTCTTCTCCTCCTCTTTGGGGGGGAGGAAAACCAAAAGTTTTGTTTTGGTTTTGTTTTGGTGTTTTTGTTTTGCTCTTTTTTATCCCCCCCTCCGCCCCTCCGCCGAGCACCGCCACCATCAGTCATGTCTGGATTGGGAAGGCTTCACACTGAAGGGAAGACAACCACCGCGCGACCGGAACAAAGGGGAGAGAGAGAGAGAGAGAGAGAGAGAGCGAGAGAGAGAGAGAGAAGGAGAGGAGAAGGAGAGAGAGAGAGAGAGAGAGAGAGCGAGAGGAGAGGAAGGGAAGGGGGGAGGGACGAAGGAGGGAGGGGAGCGTGAGAAGAGCAGGGCGGAGGATGAGATGGTGAGCTTTGCAGGGGGAGGAGTAGGCTCCCAAACGGCGATGCGTCTTCCCTTGAGCACCTGCCCCCAATCGTTGCCCCTGGACACAGCTGCAGACCGCTCTTCGCCCACGGAGCCTTCGACAGCCAGGGGTGCGACACGACGTACCGGTGCTTGGGCTCACCCCTGGCGCGCGGGAAGCCCAGGCTGCCGAGCACAGACTCGCTGGGGGGAACCTCCTGGCACCGCACCATGGTGGACCCGGCCTCGGCCAGGCGCCTGCCGCGAGGACCGAGGATCGACTCGTCGTCGTCGTCGTCGATCGTTCGAGGATCGATCGTTTGAGGCTCGAGGATCGCTCCATCGTCGATCGTCCGATCGAGGATCGGAGTCGCCGTCGGCCGGGCAGGATCAGTGGGCATCGGACGTCGGGAACTCGGGCCGCGTCGGGCATCGGACCGTCGGGATTCAGGAGGGAAAACAAACACACAGACACAATTATTCGTCGATTCCCCAGAACATGTGGGAAAATATGGGAAGCGGGGGGGCGAAGACAAAAGCCCAGAAACTATAGGAAAATATGGTGAATCTTGTTATTCGCGTCTATCTATTTGTGTCCCAGGGCCCCTTCAGGAATGTCAGAACCGAATCGGATCGCGCGCGGCGAGCGCGAAACCCAACCGCACCGATCGAATCGGACCCCGCTCCGCGACGCGCGAGAGGCGCGGCGGCCTTCTCGCGCACTCTGCGGGCGACCCCCCGAGGGGCTGAGGAGGAAGAAGAAGACGAACCGCCCGTGGCGGCCGATGGGGCCAGACAGACCGATCGAGCCGAGGAACTGCGCAGTAGGCATCTCTATACACCACTGCCAAGCCAGGGCCATCCTGGGCCCTAGGATGGTGCATACGCCCTCCTGGCCGAGGCCAGGAGGGTCTACACACCATCCTGGGGCCCAGGGTGGACCTGGCCTGGCACGGCGGTGGTGTGTAGAGATGCCTGCGTCGGAAGAAAGCGGGCGGCCCGGCCTGAGGTAGCCGCAGCGGACCCACTTCACCCGCGCCTCTGGGGGAACAGACGGGGGCAAAACCGAAGACAAACTTCTGGTCCTCCTCCTCCTCCTCCTCCTGCTCCTTCTCCTCCCTCTCCTCTTCCTTCCCCCCATCCTCCTCCCCCTCCTCCTCCTCTTCTCCTCCTCCGTAGCCATTTTGGCTCAAGATGCTTGCACTTGGCGGCTCCGCGCCTCCGTGCCTGACTGGAAGCTGCTATTCCGCAGCAGTGCCAAGGCTGTTCAGCCCGACATCCGTTTTCACGATTCCCGTCGGTGGCAGGCAGCCCGCCGCCACCCGACAGCCCTCCTCTTCATGGTGCCGCAGCCGCCGCAACCCAGCGTGCTGCGCGGCCCGCGCCGCCCGATGTGGGCGTGCGGCCGCTGCGGGGCGAGCAGCAACTGGGCGTGCAGGATCAAGTGCACCTGCGGCAACGACGCACCTGTGCGTATCCGCAAGTCGGCGTGGGACAACCAGAAGATATGGGATGCCAAGTCGCCTGGGTCAGCAGGTGGCGGAGGCGCAGCAGGCCGTTCGAAGCAAGACCTCGAGCTCTCCAAGCGCCTGGGGGAGATCGAGAAGCTGCTGCGTGGTGGACAACCCGACGCCAAAGAGAAGGAGAAGGCACCGTGGCAGAGAATACCGAAAGCTGACCCCTCGGCCGCCACGGAGCCGCAAGCTGATGACAAGGAAGAAGACAAACGAGCCAAGCTTGTCGCTCAGCTCGCCTGCTTCGAGGCGTCGCTCAAGACGCTCCCACAAGGCGAGTCAGGTGATGAGCTACGGAAGACTATGCAGACCAAGATCGACGCGATCAAGCAAGAGCAGAAGCAACTACGGCCCCCCGCCGTGGCGCATCGCCGTGCAACTCAGGATCTCTACAAGGCGCAGGCGTCTTGCGAGAGGCTCACGAAAGAGATCAGTGAGAAGGAGGACCAGCTGGCGCGCTTGCAGGAGAGCATCGCCGAGAAGCGCCTTCAGCTGGAGTCCAAGAAGACCGAGGTTCTCGCGCTGCAGGCGGAGGTGCGCACCCACGCCGCTAGCGTGGGCGGCAAGGCCCCCGAACAGCAGAACCCAGCGGACTTCCTCTACGTGCGGGAGGAAGAGCTAGATGATGAAGAGCTCTAGAAGTTCCTCAGCGCACCGTCATGGGCGAAGTTGCGTGAGCACCTGTCGGCCAAGATACCTGCGGCTCCTGATGTGCACATGGGCGATGCTGATAAGCATGATGACTCTCGTGTGCCCGCAGACCCAGCTGGATCTACTGAAGGTGGTGGGCTCAAGCATGACTTCGACGAGGATGAGCAGCAGGCCCTCTACACCCTTGGCAAGGACGGTAGTTTCGAAGAGTTTGCTGCTAAGCTACGAGAGTTTGGAAAGAAGCCACGACTCGGGTAACCTACTAGTACCAGGACTTAGGCTGCAGCAAGGAATGGTGAAGCTGCCGCCGACACCGCCCGCGCAGGGCACCTACACCTTCGCGACGTTCAATGCGAGCGGAGGGCGAAAGACACTCAAGCAGATGATTCAGCGCACCACGGCGCACATCGTACTCACCCAGGAGACAGGCTTCACGGAGCCCTTGATCGAGTCGCTGCGCAGCTGGGCAGGCAATCGAGGTTGGAAAGTTGCTGCTATACCAGCTCGCCCGAAGAGTGGCATGGCCCCGTCAGGCGGCACCGCAGTTCTGGCTCGAGCTGATCTAGGGCTGCGACACCCAGATGGCGGTCAACTGGTATACGACCATCGCCTGCAGCACGTGGTGGTCGACCTGCCAGGGTGGCCCAGCCTGTCTCTCTTGAGCGTATACCTGAAGGACTCGATCGGCGCGACTGGCGAGAACACTGAAGTTCTTGCAGCTGCTGGTCGAATCATGGCGCGAACGGCTACGCCATGCATCATGGGAGGTGACTGGAACATGACGGGCCAGGGCCTTGAGGACTCAGAGTTTCCACGACTGGCATCGGTGGTGATAGCGATGCCTGATCAAGTCACATTCCGAGGTGGAGCTGGCTGTTCTACGATCGATTTTTCTTCTGTCTCAGCAATGCAGCTCAACGAGGGTTTCGAGGAGTGCAGGTTCAAAGTAGTTGGCACAAGAAAGCTCATTGGCCAGTCCAACTAAACATAGCAGACAATGGGTACGCGATCCAGCACTGCGTCTACACTGTCACGCAGAGACGACCCGCAGTATTTCCCGCTGGGCCGCGCGCGAAGCCGATTAACTGGACAGTTCTTGCAGCAGTTGCAGATGAAACAGTACGCTTGGCCCACAACCCCATGAGTGATGCTGCTGTTGCTTGGGCCTACCTCACCAGAGTATATGGAAAGTTTGCAGTTACTGTTGCTGAATACATTGCTGCCAACACGTAAACCGAACTAAAGAATAGCGGGGCGTACGGCAAGAACCTGGAACCTCGTTGGGTCAACGCTGAATACCCCATGAACGTAGAGTCGGACATCCAGGCGATTGGCAAAGGCTGGCAGTGGCTCAGAGAAGGTTTGGTCACCATCCAGCAGTTATTCTCTAAACCAGAAAAGATGGCATAATGTTCAGAAGAGATAGCCCAATTCATGTTGACGCCGTACCCAGGAGCAGGCCCAAGTGGACGATTGGATAGTGCGGTCACTCAAGGTCGCCAGGAGATCAATCAGATACCACTCGACTTGCAACGCATTCAAACATTCCTGGATGAGATCGACGATGACGTAGAACGGGCAAAGAAAGGTCAAGTAAAAGATGCGAATGAGTCGTGGACAGAATGGTGCCGCATTGCTGCGAGTGGAGGCGCTCGGCCTCTACACCGTACTACCAAAGTTCGAGCTGTCCCCGCGCCAGCTGCTGCCATTGGTATACCATCTGGGGACCCCGTGGTGATAGTGAAGCAGGAGGTGGCCCTCTACAGAAAGCTGTGGGGTGCCATCAGCGAGGCAGCGGCGGCGTTGATCCCGGACAGGAGCAGCTGCCCACGACTCGAACCAGATCAAATACGTCGGATCTCGAGGTCTTTTCCAGCTACGACTTCGGCAAGTCTCGACAATTTCCACCCGAGGCGCGCGGCGATGCTGGACGACGAAGGATTAGAGGTGCTAGCTTCCATCTGGGAAGCGGCAGAGGCCATAGGGGTCTTGCCGAAGCAGCTGTGCTGGATACAGATGCCGCAGTTGGGCAAGCCAAGTGGAGGCAACCGCCTGATCATTCTGTATGCGGGTATGTACAGGATTTGGCAGAGGGCTCGGCGCGCCATCGTTCAGAGCATGCATGACACGCTGGAGCGGGGATACTGGGGCGCATGCAAAGGACGATCGGCGATAGACTGCGCATGGGATGAAGCAGCGAGTTCAGAATCTGATCAGATGGCGCGCAGATATGGCATTGTTTTCATTGCTGATTGGTCCAAGTACTACGAGACCATCCCTCTGGAAGTTCGGAAGAGGAATTTTCTTCGTCATGGAGCGCCCACGTGCTGGCTCAAATTGGTATTCAATATGTGGATGAGCCCCAGAGTTATCAGACCCGGCCGACATCGCTCAGATGAAGTGCCCTGTGCTCGGCTTGGATTGCCAGCAGGTGACGCTTGCGCTGACTTAGCCGTCAAAGTCAACACCGTGGACGCTTTTGACATGATGATGACGAAGTCGCCGACGATAGACTTCCAGAACTACATTGACGATTCAGGCCTTCACAGTTCTTCTTCTGATTACGACATAACGAAAGGTACGGCTGTGGAGGGTATCCAGAATTTCTTCGAGGCTAGCAGGCAGACCAACGCCGCCCTGAACGATGAGAAGCTCGCGATCATCTCGACGCACCAGGCATTGGCTGCAGCCGTGTGTGACGAGCTTGGGCTCCCGAGGTCGGTGATCAAGCCCAGTGTGTCCTACCTGGGCGTGGGCGAGTCTGCTGGCGCAGCTCGGCGACGACAACGAGTGCGACTGATGCAGCAGTCGAGGTTTGTTGCGATGAGAGAAAGGGCCCGAAAGGTGCGAGCCATGAGGAAAGGGTTCAAAGGTCCCAAGGAGATCCCTTTCAGGAAGATTTATCGCCAGGGTGTGGCCCCTGCGAGCAGTTTTGGAGTTGAGATCCAGGGACTTTCTGAGTCTGAGTGGCTAGCGCACCAGCGGTTGATGAGTAGCTCAGATGCCCCCCCGCACGGCGGGGTTTCACTTTCAGCTAAGGTAGTTTTAAACGGTGATAATAGCACGAGATTTGCCGTGGCGCCCGCAATCCAATGGTGCAGGATGGCGTGGTCAGCTGCGACTCGCCCAGGGCACGCCCTTGTAAAGATGGCTGAGCTCCTCTACCTCTGGGGATTATGTCAGGCCTCCAGCTGTAAAGCTTGGCAAGAGTCCAGGGGCCCGATTTCTCGTGCTTGTTTGAGTTTGGCCCGTGCGGACTGGAAGTGCCGTGGCCCCGTAAAATGGGTGGACCACAATGGCCATGACGTTGATTTAACGCAGACCCCGCCGTCACTTTTAAACGATATGCTTGAGCTAGGAGTTCAAAGGCAGCGCGAGTTTCGGTTGGCCCGAAAGCTGGGCTTCGACCCATGGGACGCGTGCCGCGCTGGACTTAGTGAGAAAAGCTGTGTCTCCGAAAGCCAAGCGCCTGAGTAGGTATCAGAAGTATCTAATAAAGAGCTGTGGATGCCTAGGATTGTGGACCAAAGATCGTGCTGAGAGGGCGGGGTACCTGTGTGACGGGCTGTGCGAGTGTGGTGAAAGGGACACAATCCACCACAGGCTCTACTGCTGTCAATTGCCCAATGTTTCAGAGGCCCGTCAGGCCGCCGAGGTCTCTCCCGAGTTCTTGGCTGCGGCCCGAACGGAGCCCGAAAATCTGATTTTCACCACTGGCATTTTCACATATCAGGACAGTGCGCTGCCGTGCCCGTTGGTTTCGTACGAGGTTGACGTCTTGGATCAGCACGGCAACGCACTTGATTTAACCCCTGAGCAGATTGCCAATCTCACAACGAATGTGCCGCTCCGACTGGCCTCGGATGGATCAGTGAGCAAACCGTTGCTGAGACCGCTGGAGAGAGCTGCCTGGTCCATCGGAGTCCTCCCCGACATCGGGGAAGATCCAGTAACGTTTCTGCGCGGAGTTGTGCCTGGCATGCTCCCGCAGACTCCCGCCATGGCCGAACACGTAGGCATCGCACTGTGCGGCCAAGTGGCCAGCAGGTCCGCCGAGTTAGGATCAGATTGCAAGGCCGCCATCCGAGTCACCCAACAAGACGTGTCGAGGCAGCTAGCGGCAGGTAACAAATTTGCTGGCATCCGACTTTTTGCGCAGGGATTGGAGGGAACGCCTTTGATTCATACAGTGCGTCACGTGAAGGCGCACAGGTCAGAAGAAGAAATGGCGCTGCTCGAAGGCGAGGAGAGACTGTTTGCCGTGGCCAACGCAGCTGTTGACAGGCAGGCTAAAGCAGCGTTGTCCCTCCACCCTGCGCCAGACGTGGAGTTCCTCTCAGATGTGAATCTTGCAGCCACCCGTGCGCAGAGTTTCATGAAATTAGCCGCCGAGGTCCTCCCGCTATTCCCCAATGAGGCTAGGTGGAAAAGACCTGTGCGGATCAGATCAGGCCGCTCAAAGCGGACTGTCTTTTGGCACTGCTGGAAGCATGGTGAATTAGGTTTGCAGTGCACCAGATGTCTGCTGGTGGCAGAAGGATCGCCAGACGGAGTCCCAATGAGTGGCTGCAAAGGCGTTCCCAGTCACGTCAGTCGGCTGCTCTCGAATCCCCAGGGACATTCCCTCATCGCCACTGCTGGTTTGGCTCGGGAAACTGGCGACGGCGCCTCGGTGTGTCAGGTTCGAGAGCAAACCATAGTTTGTTTGAAGTGTGGAGGGTGGTCTCAAGCAAAGCTTGAGAAATTAGGCCGTCCCTGTGTTGCCCCCCACTCGTAAAGGTTTAGAGGTGATCTCCATGGTGAGGCAAGGGCGGTGCCCGAATCGTCGCGTTTTGGCCTTGCTGGACAAGGCTCTCCCTGTTTCTCGGCTGCGCCGCGACCCGCCCGAGCCCCATGACACCTCTGACACGAATGTCCGTACGAGTTTTTCGGCCACAGAGACGGCCCCCTCCTATGAGCAAAGAATGAACGCTTTGGTCGAGCGAATTCGAGTGAAGGAGAGCACCCGAGATGCTCGGTCCAGGGGATAGTTTCGGGAGTTTTCAGAGGGTTACCCTCTTTTTAACTCCCCCATCCCGGATTCGTATCCCAGTTATATTGAGCTGAGATTATTTAGTGCGGTGCACTCCCCATTTAGGGTATTCCATTCCATTCCATTCCTCTTCTCTTTCTTCTCCTCCTTCTTTTCCTCCTCCTGGAGCTGCGCGCGGACTTCTCGGGTCTGTGCTGGACCCCCTCATCCCTGGCGGCGCCTCTGGCGCGCGCCGCGCGCCATGCAGGGGAGCGGAGCGCGCTAGGGGCGGCGCTGGAGGCGCCGCCGGGGAGGGGGGGGGGGAAATTCAGCGCAAACCCGTGTCGGGGATCTTCTTGCTCGCGTCAATCTAGACCTGGGTCAGTTAGGTCTTGCAGGATCCGGCAGGATCTTGCACCCAAGCCTGAGTCAATGCAGACCTGGCCCTGCAGGATCCTAGAAGATCTGGCGCTCTAACTGACCCCCGTTTAGTCGGCGAGCGAGGATGGGAGGTGAGAAGGACAAGGCCGTCTCACAAGGCTCGGAAGTCCCCCTGCCTTCTGAGAAACCCCGCCCCCTTCTGAGAAGGCCTTCTCCTTGTCACTTCCCCCCCTCGCTCGCCGCCGACCGTTAGCATCGACCCCCCCTCTCTTGAGCCCCGACGAAGACATCCGCGCGGAGCTCTGGCAGTTTATGCTTGTGCATGCTTGTCTTAAGCCCCGACCATCGGGCAGGGGGGGTGGCCACACGGGGGTTGAAGAGAAGTGTCCTGAAGAGGCACTCTCGGCGGTGGAAAACCCTCCTTTAGTAAACCTCCCCTTTAGTGAAAACGGCCTGGGACCGAAACCGACGGGCCTGGACCCGCAAACATGACGGCCGCGACGCCCTCCCGCGAACCGAAAACGGCCAATTCCTTCATCGACGTGTCAGGGTAGGAGGTCTGTCCAACCCAGACACTCTGGGGCCCCTCTTGGAACGAGCTGGTGCCCTAGGGCCCCTTTCGGGCCCTTCTCTCAACCCCCAGTTGGGTCACCCCCCATGACTTTGGACGCCCGAAGTGGGTACGGAAAACATGGGTACAGTGCCCAACAACAAATGCTGTCCCAAACCGACCGCGGCCGCTGTGGGGCAGGCGGCGATGCATTGGCCATGCATCGGCGACGTCGGCGATGCATCGGTGACGTCGGCGTGGGGAACCATGGTCTCCACATCGAGCCGCATCGTCGATGCCTCGGCGATGCGGCGCGATCCTCCGACCCCATCTGCTCCGACCCCATCTGGGAGGCCTGGACTCTCTCCGTGCCCATTCCGATCGTCCCGAATGACCGCCCGCCCGAGACCACGACATCCGCGCGGAGCTCGGCAGTCTTTATGCTTGTGCACTTCTGCACATGCTTGTCTCCTCTTATGTGGCTCCCGTCGTACTTACGGACCACACCCCAAACATAATTTCGAGCACCCGGAAAAGTGTCGAACGAGTGTCGAGACAGCGTCGGACGAGCGTCTCCCAGGGCCCGACGCGTGAAAACCCTGGAGTTTCGGTGCTTTTGTGGTGCTCGAGATTCTTTCTGGTGATCAAGGCCAAATCGGGGGCGGCCAAGAGGGGGGTGTTCAAGAGGGTGGGTGCAAATCATGGCCGGCGGCATGTGCGCGGCCCAGGGGGGGGGGCAGGGACGTAACGAAAGAAGAAGGGGCGCC